TAATCCCAAGCCCTTCTTGCTTTATATACATTATTGGATTGTGTTCTCTGCTTTTTTTTTTTTTTTTTGGCTGTTTAAAACTACTAACTTATTTGTAGCTTAACTAATTGATTTGTGTACTTTGTATACTAATGTTGTCTGTACTTATAGCAAGGAAGACATGGTATGCCTGCATTCTGTCTAAGTAGTAAAATAGTTTTAACGTTGACATTTGGTTTTTTTATGCTATCCTGCATCCAGGATTTAAACCTTCTGTTTTCAAAATATTTTGCCTTGATTGAATTAAATATTAAACTTAAGAACGCATTCAAACTGAAGTTGTGCCATCACAGTTGAACTGTTTGTATTTAGTAAAAACTTCATCAGAATGCTTTTTGGTGAAAACTGGTTACAACTAACACTTCATTTGCTTAATTAGTCTAATCACTTTTACGAAGATCCTGAAACTTGTATTTATTTTTTTTTTTATTTGGGCTTAATTTTTACCCCTGTCTTGGAAAAGGAAAACATATCCAACTTCTTGACTGCAAAAATAGCTTCTCAATTTCAGGGAATCTGCTGTTGGATTGAAATGAGCTAAACACACTTAATGAATCTACAAAGAATTTGCTTTTAATACCGGGAATAGCCATTTCTTATTTAGGAGCTTTCACAAGTTTAGTTCTGGGGCTTGTAACAGCACGATTCATATTATTCGGAATATACAAATTTAGTGTAATTTTGCTTAAAACTGTACCAACTGTCATTTTAGACAGTTTTTTTTGAGTCAAGTGGGATTTTTAAGAGATTTGTTAATGTTTACTCTTGCTTAAACATTATCAAGATTCTTATGATGTGATGGAGTTGTTTAAGCCATAGAAAGCATACATTGTTGGATATTGTCTTGTGTCTTCTCTGAAGCTGACACGCCTAGAACGAGAGCGCTTGTCCCTGGGTACTCTGCCATGGCTGGGCTTCAGCTGGGTAATCTGTGTTGTTCAGATGCCCATGGAGTTCTAGAACTCACGATTTTATTCTTGTAGACTGAATATCATTTTCTGTCACAGATAAGTGCAGGGGTTAATATGGGTGTATCTGGAATGTCTCTGAAGGGTTTTGGTCACAGCTAGAACACCTCTTGCTTGATACAGCATTATCTGCCTGAAGAGTTGAGCTGGAAATTTTCTTCCCTGTGTTGGTTTCTGTTTAAGAGTTTTTGGAGGTCTTGCCTCAAAACATTGAGCAGTGTCCTGTACAGCCTAGTGCCTGAGTGTGCTCACAAGCACGCTCGTTGGCTTTTACTCCTTTACTGAGAACAGAGCATTAGAGTTGAATTTAATTTTGAAAGTGTCCTTTATGTCTACAGATGTTCATACAGGGCATGATAGAGAAGTTATTTTGCTGCCATTCCGTCACTACCATCCAACATATATATAAACACCTGTGGTGAAGTTCTGCTCGCTTGTCAGCATGGCTTCCCAAGAGGTGTTCTACCTCATTGTCCCACCATGGATCGCGTGGGCAGCAATGCTCTGTAACACACGTGTAGTGCCATCCCTTGGGCTTGCTCTGCTCCTAGGAACTGTTGTGGGTTGGGTTTTTAAGCTTCTCCTTAACTGTTGAAACATGTAGTCAATATTGACCTGCTTATATTGGAGACTTTTTTTGTGGATATCGTTCTGAGTCTGTGCTCCAATACTATCTCTGATTTTGTAGGTTCACTGCCTAGGCTGTATATAGGCCAGTGAATGGTGTGGTGTTGCTCAGAGTGCTGACCATTCTTCTGAGAACATCTGTTGTAATAATACACTTTACAGAGTGTGGGGGGCTTTTGTTGTGTTTTTGGCTTGGATTTTTTTGTTTGTGTTTTCACAATTTAGCAAGCATCTGAAGTTCCACTCTTTCCTGCTAATACCATTTTGTTTGCTCCTGAAGTTACTTTTACTGATGCTTGTATCGCATTTAACATAATTTCTTTTCAGCTGATGTTGATATTCTGACCTTTTAAGCTAGAATTAGCATTGTTAATAGCCTGGCTTTCGCAAGTTCTCCATCAGAACCTCATAATTGATTCCTTTAAAATTTACTTTTGAATGGCTGTACTAATACATGTATGATGCTTAAAAGCAAGACCACTGCATTTTTTCTCTCTGCAGAGAGCCGTATTTGAACTGTAGCTTTAGTTATAACTAAGCAGTGTGATACCCTGCTAAAAATACACTTTTATTTGTGCATCAGCTGCCATTACCTGTTGTGGATTTCCTTTGATGGAATTTGGGGTCTGAATGTTTTTACAATTGAGCAGAGGATTTTGACGGTGGTTATCATCTCAATTCCCACTTCACAAGTTCTTCAAGTCTTCAGGGTTTTGTTTGCTTTAGTAGGATCTTTATTGATACTATTGATAAGATGAAATAAGTTGCAAGACTTTGAAACAATCAGAATTACTACCAATAATATTAACATACTGTAGTTAATACTGCATTTTAACATGCTCATTACTGTTGCTTTAGGTCAGAGGTCCAGCTTAAAGTACTGGTATGAGAAGGAGTGGTTAAGTAATGGTCACATGCATGGCTTAGCATTTTTGGAAGAAAATTATTCCCACCAGAATGCCAAGAAGATAGTAGCCACTCATCAACTTCTTGGCGATGTACAGAGAGTGATAGAAGTACTGCATGGACTGCAGCTGAAGATGAGCATATTACAGTAAGCAGTATTTAAGTATCAGTTGGCATGTTCTCATCATGAATTAGATTTCAAACAGTAGAAAAAATAACTAGAAATTCAGACTTATTTTTGTGTTTCTTTGTGGATATCTAACAACATAATTTGAATTGCTAATGTGATCTTGGAAAAGGACTTGGCTGTTTAAAAACTGCATAAGTGGTTTGAGGAGTGTAAATTGTCTATGTGTATAGAAGGGGTTGGGAAAGTATGAAGGAGAGAGGGAAAAAACTAACAGCAGCAGCTTCTCTTAGAGCACCTAAATGGATGTAAGTAACAAGAAGAGGATAGGCATATAACCTATGGCAGCATTCTTATAACATTTGCCTTCTCCATTGCAGCAATTCTAAATCATAGCTTTTCCAGCAGAAATAAAATCTTTTTGTTTAGCATAATGTGTTGCTTTGTGGAAGTGGGAGAGCAACGTGTAGCAATTCATTTCTATGCAAAGATTATTACAGAGATATATGAAAAAATAACATTTTTCTCACTGTAGAAATCAAGTTTGCTGCATTTTCTGCTGTTTGAAGTCATCCTTGGTTTCTGATAACTGAAAAAATCATATTCTAACTCAAATCCAGCAGTTTTAAATTGATTGAATTCCATGTTTATAATTTATTAGTTGATAAATTGCACAGCAGCAGCTATTTGGAAAGCAAAGCTTTTAGTGTTTCCAGTGTTCTTTAGAACTCTTTCTCTTAAATTTAATCTGCAGTGATGCAGCAGGGCCACTGGCAGTACTTGACGCACTTTAATAGTGGAATGATGCTTAAAGCAAAAGAATAGCGATTTTAACGTAAGTTTTTGCATTTCCATTATGGTATTTTTTAGTCGGATATGTAAGTAATGCTTTTCATTTTTCAAGAGGCCTTTTCTTAAATGGCAAGCCATTTTAGATTGTGACTTCCCAGTGGTTGAGTAAATTGAGATTTGCATAGCACCAAGGCACAGAGCACCAGGCAAGTGTGTGGTGCTTGTAGCAAGATTTTGTTCCTTTTCTCTCCCATCCTGAAGTTGGTGTGATGACCTGGTTTAATTAAAGATGAGGTGTGGTCCTGCTAGGACCATCTTGTTAAAAGCTATAGCCCCTTGTTTTCTTTATCACTACAAAAATCAGAAAGGATTTTTAAAATTGTTGAATTAGAATGACCATATTGTTGATGTAGGTCTAGCATTTAGGGGGAGATGAGAGAATTTCACAGCTGCCTGAAATTAGTAGGAGAGCATTGTTCAGTATTTCCAGGAGATGGTAGAGGCTCAGAGGTAACATTGGCAGCTTTGGTGCAGGGGGAGGGAGAGCCAGCCATCAGAAGGCAATAGTTAAAAGGTTGCTCAAGTGCTTGAATTTTCACCCTTGTGTAGCTGGTGCATCATCTTTCAGTGTTCTGTTTTCTGTGAAGTTATCCCTTGCTCTTTGCTGAGCAAAATAATACCTTTGAGGTGTAGAATATTGGTGGAGCTGGAGTAGAAAGCTTTGGTAAGTGAGCAGGTGGCTTTCACTTCTCCAGGCGTGTGGCAGGATGGCTCACCAAGGGCACTGTAGCGTCATGGGGACAGGGGGGCCTGTGCGCAGCGGGACTGACTGCTGCGTCCCCTGCGTCCCCTGAGAGGCACTGAGGACGTCTTCGCTGCTCAAGAACAGATTAGAAAGCAGTTACTTTGGAAGTAAAAGGGTCATGTTTTGCTGAGTGGTTTGGCAAAAAGCTGGATCAGCTTAATGGAGTCTGCCTTCGTTTGCAGGGAAGCACAGAGTGGGGTTTTGGGGCAACCCCCCCCCTTTTTGTGCAGCTGAATGCAGGTGCTTTAGGGTCAGGATTTTCTTCTGCTGCATTGTTGCAGCACCCAGCAGATAAGCTGCTTGCCTTTTTGAGATAAGCAGAGTGATTCTGCTTTGCTCTCCTCTTTACTGCTGTTTTAATGTCTGACAGACATATGGAAGGACAGTATCAGTTACAATGCTCACTTTAAATTTTTGTTTTTTATATCCATGTAAGAATCTGATACCTATAGTTGTCCCTGCTGCTGGAATAAATAACCTATTAGTCAATTTGAAAACAACTAAAATAAGAATTGTTCTAAGAAGCAGGGGGAGGCAAGAGGGGGATGACCATGGTGCGTTGGTGTACCAGGCAGTGGAATTTGCTCAGCTCTTGGGGTTTAAAGGAATGTTAATGTTTTAAAGGAAACAATAAAGATCTACACTACCAACCACCTCAAGTCCCCAATTGTTGTTGTTATTATAGGGTTATAAAAGATCAATGGATTTAATTTTTAAGTCTATTTTGGGGAACTACAAGTTGAAGTTTGATACTGAGTGGTTTGTTTTATTGGTGCTTAAAATTGAAGTTAAACTCAGATTTTAACAGTGTACTTAGTGTGACTTACCTTACTAATACCCCAGTGAAAATGAGTTTATGCTGTTAATAAATTGCAAATATTGAAGCAAAATGCTCCTTCAAGGGCAACATTGGTTGTATGTATCTGAAACATGTTCTTAACTTTTTTCTTAATGCCAACACTTGGCCTATAAACCATGTTATAGAAATAAAAATAGTGAACATAACAGAACATTGTAGGAAGATACACAGTTGAGGTCAGTGAAGTTACATTATTTCAGAATATTTGGGATTTTTTAAGGATTATAATGACTAAAGTATGTAGTAGTTCAAATATTCTTACTTCGTTTCTTTACGTAATAGTATAGTTTGCTCAGTTACTTTGACATTTAAATTAGGGGTTTCTACGTTTTTTATGTTTGAACAGAAATAAAGAACATCCTGACTTAAAGCTTTGGTGCCATCCGTGGAAGCACATTGCAGTGGATGAAAAAATTCATACAAAGCACATCATTCACATTGAGGAGGACTGTTGCAAAGAGGAGACAGCAAGTTACAGAACTTGGAATGGGACAGTTGAGAAACCCTCAGCTATTCCTTCCGTGGAGGAATCTTACATTACGAGTGAACACTGTTACCAGAAGCCTCGAGCCTACTACCCTGCCATAGAGCAGAGACTGGTTGTGGAAACAAGAGGTTCAGCCATGGATGATGGAGCAAATAGAATAAGGGAAAATGGGGATGATGCCCTGTCAGAGAGATTTGGCTGGAATCTGGACCAAGAAACATGCAAGATGGAAAATAGTTCTAAACAGAATTATTCTAAGGTATTTGTATTAAAATAACCCTCTCTGCATCAAGAATGTGTTTGCCTGGCAAAGTGCAAAACTCAACCCTTTTTAATAGTATTTAGTTTGTGTTTAGTTTTTTTCCTATAGTGGTACATTTAAGTTGCCAGTACAAATTAAAACAATAGACGTAATCAACTCCTACGTTTCAAATAATAATTAAAAATAGGGTAAGAGGACCTTAAATCATCTGCACATTCTGTGGAATGTGTTAATGGTCCACTGGCTGTTCATTGCTGCTTACTTTTATGTGTATTAAATATAAAAATAAATGCTATCAGTGAGAGAACAGGGCAAGCATGTGTGATACTACCAAATGCACGGGTATTCCAGCTTTTAGTTATTTCCGTCTTGTTCCCATGATTCTTTTAATAGTTACATTATTAATTCCGGGTTCTTCAGGCAGCATTTTATGTTGGGGAGGAAAAAAAGAGGAGCAGCCTAAACTGAATTTTTTTTTTTTTTTTTTTTTTTTTTAAGAACGATCACCATTGACTAGTCCTGTATCTTCTTCCTGCTGGAGCACTCTAGCTTTATCTGTTGGTTCTCATTATCAGGTCTATCAGAGCCCTGTCTTTCTACACCCCAGTTCAAAAAATTTACTTCAATTATTTAGTGTCAAGTCATATGAAATACAGTTTGACAGATGTTAGAAAGCATATGGGAAATACCAACCTCCCTTTTTCAGACTAAAAGGTTATTTAGCTTTTATTTCATGCGTACATAAGCTGTAATTTATGTTCTTTTTAACTTCCCTAGCAAATCAATTGAGATTACTTTATGTTTTCCAGAAAGGCATATATTTCAGTTCTTCAATCTTTAAGAGCCTTTTTCTAAATCCTGTCATATTTCAGCATAATGATGAAAAAGTAGGGGAGTAGAATCAATACTGTTGACAGCATAGTCAAGTTTTATAAGTGGTGGTAATGTTTGGGGTTTTTTCTAGATGCTTCAATGAAACTTTTAGTAGAATTGAGAGTCGATTCTTCAGGAAAAATCCCTTCTTACTGCAAAATCATTTGCTCTTTAGTTGATTACTATCATGTTAAAAGTGGCTTTAGAGTTCCTTAGGATGTACAGATTAAATGCGGTATCTTCCAGCTGGAAGTTGTCAGGGAACTAGATATGCGTGTATACGCTATCTTCTGAAAATCAGATGGTTGTGAAGTGCAAAGAATAGGTCTTAGCAAAATACCTATAAAAGCATGTCTGCATTTAGATCCTCTTGCCCAAAAAGCCTTAATATTTTTGTGTGATCTCATCTCTGTGTCTGTCTGTCCTCTGCTAGCCTAAGATTAGTTGAGCAATTAGCTTGGGTAAGGACCCAGACAGTCGGCTCACCAATTCTATTTTACTGTTAAAAATATCAATGTGTGTATTTCTGCTAGGTAAGAGAGTCTGTCTCTAAGAAAGTCTCTACAGAAGAAGCTATTGAAATGAAATTGGTGGAAAAAGACAAAGAAGGAGTTGTGAACTCACAGCTGCAGTGGCAGCTTAATCTTTTAGCTCACGTGGAATCTCTGCAAGATGAAGTCATACACAGAATGGATTTCATTGAGAAGGAGCTAGATGGTAGGTAACATTTTTCACTTCGAAAAATTAAGTGTATTTCACCGAACTACCTGTTCAAAACACGTTAACTTGAATTTTACTTCTGTAGACCTAAAAGAGGCAAGTGTTGTTTTGTCACATTTACTGCATTTGCTAATAGAAAACAGACATGCAGCAGCATGTTGTGGGGTGGATTTTAAAACAAGGATCAAATTAAAACCAAGCGGAATTTTATGGAAAAAAAGTTCTAGTGAGAACACATCTAAATACTCGCATCAGATTATGACAATGTAGTAGAATATCTTCTATGTCTCTTTGCTTTCAGGTTTTTTGTCGTTGTCATAGAATCATAGAATTTCATGGCTTGGAGGGACCTTTCAGATCATCTAGTCCAACCATCAACCTAGCACTGACAGAAACCACCACTAAACCATAGCTTTAAGCACTGTGTATACCCACCTTTTAAATACTGCCAGGGATGGTGACTCAACCACTTCTCTGAGTGGCCTGTTCTTCTGTCTCTAACTTCCCTATTCTTCAGGGGCTTGCTGGCTGTCTTAGCCTATTCTAGGTGGCCTCTTTGGAGCACAAGGCTCTTTTCTTTTCCTCTCTTCCAAATTCTGTAGTTAAATGTCTGTCGAAATTTTTCCTCCTAATAATAGAAAACTTCTACACCCTTTATGTGTTTCATTAAACAATCCAGGATAGTTCTTTTTCTTAACATCTTTAACTCTGTCCATTTGGTTGGATAGTGGATACAACAGCAGCTTTTCTCGCAAGGGAATTGGGAAACTAACCTTTGCCGAAGTGAGAGTCCTCTCTTTGCAGTTCTGTAAGGGACTGAAAGGTTGAACAACTAAAGGCATATTTCAGGAAATGAAGATCAATCAGGCCGGTAATCATAATGCCCATTTCAAAAATGAAGCACCTTTGGTTCACAAAAGTCAGGCTTCCTGTATCTGCTGTTGAGCTGGAGGGCTGCTCAAGAGCTCTGATAAGGAATTTTCTTATTTCAAGACTGGATTGTCAGCAGTTGGGCAACGCGCACCAGTTCCTCAGCAGATACTGCCCTTAGGTTGAACTACCCTGTTGATCAGGTTCGTGGCAGTGGCTACTATTGCTGCCCTTGGCAGATGTATTCTGTCCTTAGGGTTTCTGTCTCATTCTGCAGTGCTATCCTGTCCCCTGAGCTCATCACACCTCAATCTGACCACCTTTCTCATGGCCCAATTATATTGTCACCCAAGTTGTCCTTTGGTCAGTAGTATTTCTGGTTCTTGTGTCCTGCTGTGAAGCTTTAGAGCAGGAATTCATTTTCTTTGTGCTTTAGTCTGCTGCTTGTGCTTTCAGATTCCATCCCCATTTTCTGTTACCCATTTCTTCTCTCTCTTGGCCAATTGCATTCTGTATTGATGGAGAACTTCTTTCATTATTATAGCTCTACCATTTTAGGATCTTTAGTTGCATCTAATGCTGATCTTGAGGATATTCTAATGGTATAGACTTCTTGTACTTCAGTGTCCTTGCTCTGGAATTGATGCATACCAGGGGAAGTTTAGCACCAGATTTCAGAATATCTAGCCCTGAGTTTTTCTTCCTTGCTTTCTCCTAGGAACACCTGCTTTTTTTCCCTTCTCCCCTCCCTGTTGTGTCATGTCCCCCCAAATTATTTTGTCATGTATAAAAGGCTATTGGCAAAAATTGGTGTGAGGAACCTGGTTTTCTCAAATACTGTGTTGAAAACGTTTCCCACTGTTCTCTCAAGACTCACAAAAGGTTTAAAGGATTCCTGTTTTGTGACTTAAGGTGATCTATTTGCTGAGAACTGCAATAGTGACAGTTTTGTTTTTCTTTTCAGTTTTGGAGAGTTGGCTGGATTATACAGGAGAGCTGGAACCACCAGAACCACTAGCTCGACTGCCTCAACTCAAGCATTGTATAAAGCAGCTTATAACGGACCTAGGCAAAGTGCAGCAGATTGCACTTTGCTGCTCAACATGAGAGCAGAAAATGTTTGAGACTGAGTGTGAAGTTGGAGCATCTGATGTGAACAGCTCTGTATATTTAAATGAAGTTAGCGTGCTGGTTTCATGTGATGCAGATTGACTTCAGGAAGGTGTGGAGAAGTGCGGTTCAAAGGACAGCAAAAATGTTATTTTATCTCATAAATTTGGGTTTTATTAGGCAATTATAATGATACTGTTGTCTTCAGAGCTCGGGTGTTGGTTGATAAATTATACTTAAATTTTCACTCCTTACAAGTTGCTCATTGAAATGATAGACTCTTTCATAATTAAATTGACTAAAAATCGTGCCACTGAAGAACAGAGTTCTAAGAGCCAAAAATGTTTAGCTGACAGAGGTTGTAAATAACTTTGCATAGTTTAAGTGACTTGTGTCATGTTCTATTCCTTCTGCTTTATGCATAATAGCACACAGTGTTTAATCGTTAGGAAATGTTGTAACAGTTTTCAGACATAGTAAGTATGAATGTCCAGCTCTTAACTATACATTGTTACATGGAGGAGGTTTGCAAGTAACAGTGGCCTAAACCCCACTTCTGTTAGGTTAAATAATGTAGCAGAAGGTCACAGGTGGATTGCACTTAACTTTCAGAATAAATGATTGTTTTCCATGTTTATGGTGTCCCTCTCACGTGACTTGGTACTGGGGAGCCCCCCGAGGTGTTGGAGTGCACTCCTGAGCTCTGGAGGTGGCTGGCGGTGCTGGGGACAGCCCCTGCGGCACAGCAGGCACCGCGGGGAGGGGGCTGGGGTCCAGGCTGCAGCGGGGGCTGCCATGGACCTCGCCTAGTTTTCTACCCATTTGTTAATAATTGCCATTCCGGTTATATTTTGAAATGTAGACTTTTTTCAATACTCTGAACGTGTTTATTGTAAAGACTCTGAATGTGTGGGTTTGGGAATCAGTTTATTTTATATTAGTGTAAATAAAGCCTCAAGATCTATGCATGAGGTACTGTCCTCACAGACAGTGAGTGGGTTATTATCTTAAACGGTGTGTGTTCACAAAGTCCCTTTTTATACCTTAAGATTTAATTTTTTGGTTTGTATTACTTTGTGAGAGCAAGGTGAAAATGCTGCTTATGTTCAAGTCACATTATACAGTACCTTTTGAAACGTTGGTGTATTGTAAGTATTTGAGACATTAAAAGTCTTTTAGCTGCAGATCATCGTTCCATAAATAATGGCTATGACTTTAGTTTTCCTTCCCAAACGTTGCTGAGTTAAGTTCACTGTGGAAAATGGTAAGCTGGTTTTGCAGGGAGAGGGTGTCCTTAAAAAGTTGGGTTTGTTACCTTGATTTTGTGTGTGATGGTACCACCAATGGGAAAAAATTAAGCGGGGTTGCAACTGAAAGGCCCATAACTGTAAAAATTATTAATTTTGGATATGAATCTGTAACATTTGTATATTGTAAAGAATAATGTAAATTTGAAATATCCGGTATTCTTGTAGGAGCTAACGGTATCTACAACAGTGAATGTTTTATTTACTTCAGAAAGCAAAATAATTAGACTACTCTAGGCTACTAAGGCTTTTGTGCCAAGACTCATTGCAGGGAACAATTTGTCTCACAGTTTTATAGTACTATTTGGTCTATAGTGAATACTGCGTATGTACAGCAGAAAAATAAACCTATTTTTCTGTAACACAATTGGAATAAAGCTTACATGATATTTAAGAATCACTTCGCTGTCTGAAGATGAGACCAGTGCTTATACCGTGTTCCACTCCTGTTAATGGCACCTGAATTCACATATACTGTGTAGCTCTAGAACAGGTGGCAGTAACCAGACAACCAGGACAGCATCAGGAGGAGCACCCCAGCCAACTGTGAAGGTTTTTGGGTTTTTTTCAGGTGAGATAAATCAGAAAGGTGTTCCCTGGCTGACATCCATAAAGCAAGCGCTCCCACCAGGCGTCTCGCAGACCGTAGCTGCTGTTGAGCAGTCAGCTCTGCCAACAGCTCGAGGGTGGGAAAGCAGTTATCCCTGAGCAGACTTTCCACCCCAGAGTAGAACTTCTTCCCAAGCAATTGCTTTTTGTTTGTTTATTGTACATTTTTACTTTGCCAGTTTATTTTTGCTCAGGGCAGTACTTAGGATTTGGAAGAAAAGGTAGTTCTGATGGGTGAATCAAAGGACAAATACTGGAGATTTGTTTTCCTTTAGTAGAGCTAGGGAAGCCCTTGCAGATAAAGACTGAAAATATTTATTTAAAATAGAGTATTGTTTTTCATGTTCAGGAAAGATTCTTTATTGTGCTCTGCCTGGATTCATTTTTGTCCCTGTTTTTGCAAGTTTCCACACTGTTATTTCTTAGTTTGGACCAATTGTTCGGTCTGGCAGGTTGCTTTCTTAATTTCTTTAAATCACTGGTAAGTGAATGCAACGTGGAGCCTTGATGAAATGAGCAAACATTGCACTGTGGATACATAAGTATATTTGTCTTTTTTTATGCACTATTAGAACCGAGGGCGCTGTATATAGAATTTTGCTTTGGAGCAATATTTGCAAAACTTGAAAAGTTCTGTATCTTGGTGTTTGGAATAAATAAATAGGTTTTTGTTGGTTAAGTTGTAGTAAAGTCTTTGTTTCAATTAATGACTTCAATAAAATAATTCTGGACTTTTATTCTTCACATAGCATTGAAATGCAGGTACTGTCGTTTGACAGGAAGATAGACTGGAAATGATACAGTATGGCAATGATTGTTTTCCAGATCTGTCTCATATAAGTATTCTTAATGGGCAAACTATTACATATTGGTTAATGTTGGGTATTGTTCCAGTGAGGAGCTTGTATGTTTTATTCCCAAATCCTAATGTGTAATATATTAGGACCCAGGGTATGTAATCTGACCCTAATTTTTGTTCTTGTTTGGACCAGTAGCTGACCAGGGAGCTGCTGAGCACACGGGGGCAGCGGCTGATTCCTCTGATTCCCCCTTTCCCAAAGGACTGAGGGGTGCGGGTGGGAATGCGCTCTGAGCAGCGCGGTGCTGAGCACCTGGCAGTGTGTGTGTGTGTGTGTGAGTCCTGAAGACATAGTTTCCCTGCACAGCTCCCAAGGCCACATGAACAGGGACAAGTGCTGTCAGCTGCACAGTGCAGCCTGCAGAGAGAAAAATGTCATTTCTATGCAGTTTTCAGGTGGACATGTGTGTTGCCCACGCAGCAGCAGGCTGGCAGTGGAGTTTCAGGTGGGTGTGGGAGGGTTGGTCTGGAAGGGAGCAGTGTGGGTGCTGTGCCCGTGGTGTTCTCCAAGCAGTGGTGGTCCTGCGGGGCACCAGTGGTGAGCTTGATGCAGAAGCTGCGTGTTGGCTGTGTGAGGGAGTGCTGCTTTAGCATTAATGCCAAGGAAGGAGCTTCTGATGTATTTGAACAATCCATACATAAAATCCATAGGATTGGGACAGGGAGGAGCTAAGAAGCATGGTGAGAGGCAGTGTACCTGGGACAGGGTGTGCCAGGGCAGGGGTGGGCATCCATGTGCCTTCAGATGTATTTCTGGTTCCGTATCTTCCCCTCTCAATTTCCCCACAGGAGGAAAGCAACTTTATTCCCTCGTCCTAACAAGTTGGCTTTCCTAATTTTGTTTTCAAAACAAGATTCCTATAAAACTCCTGGAAATTTAATGCTAGAGGGTGCACCACTCTGCTACAGCCCGGCTTGTGAAGCCTGGAGAAACTTCTGCCACTGGTGGCAGATCCAGGCATGGGTCAATCAAATTGTGTAGCTCTTTGTTGACCACTTAAATGTCAGCAAATAATTCAATAATTCAGTGAGCTGGGTGCTGTGGCTAGCTGTGTTCCTGGGAATGTGTCCCCTCAGGTGTTTTTTTGTCTTTTTTTTTTTCTTTTTAACTTGCTAGATCTTAAGTTTTCTAGGGGCAGACTCGCATCAGGAAGCAATTGCTAAGTCATCTGTGAGCCTTCACGTGGATAGTTTCATGTTGAAGTTCCTCAGCCTAGGAAATCTGACACAACCATTTGAATATTCTTACTGTTGTTTGACCAGAACAGCATCTCTTCTAATTCCATGATCATCTGCTGAGCATTGTCCAGACCATGGATCTCGTTCATGCTCGTCTTGGTGCTGGAGTATCAATCCCTGCTGCGGCAGCCCTGGCATTTTGTCAGATGCAAACATCATGTTCCTGACTGATCCTTGGGCATTGCCGAGCACCTCAGTATTTCCTATCTTCACACTAATCCTCCTGTGTTTGCATAGCAGCTCTCTTGCGACGGGAAGAAATCACATACAGCTTTTGTCTGGTTAAAACCTGCCACAGCTATCCAGAAAAAGTCCATGTTCAAATAGGCAGGTAGTTAAAAAAAGAAAATACCACATTTTTTCCTATTTGAACAGCAAAACTGAGAACAAAGCAACAAAAAAAGCTGGAATTCACAATGTTCTGCCTGCAGGGTGTTTCTGCTGGTGGTGCCTGTGTGTTGTGGAGGTGTTTAGTCAGTAAAGGCTGAATGATGCCACAGGTTTGGTTAAACACTGCACACCAAGTTTTTAAGGACAGCGTGGGCCCTGTTTCGCATCGTTCAGGGGTGTTGCGTGCGCTGGACTCAGGAGGAGGAGAGGAGTTGTTCGGTGCACCTCCTGAGCTCTCAGGCTGGTGGGTTTAAGTTACACGGGTTGAGTACATACACTGCTGCAAGGGGCATCAGGGGAAGGACCTGCTTGTGGTGGATTTCTGTACCCTTCTGACAATTGGAGTAATAGTTTGCTTAATGTCACACTGAATTTAGGCTCCAGAAATGGCTGTGTCCTCTGAACAGAGGTCCAAAGCTACAGGAGATACTTGGGCTGCTTTGCAGCACCTCCAAAAAAGTCTCTGATCCTTGTGAGTGTTTTGGTGGCTGCTCTTGTGAAACAAATGCTGACACACTTTGCTTTCAGGTGGGCAGAACGTAGTCGGTGTCTACAGTACGGCTGATCTGGCTGAAGTGCCCACAGCTCTGCAAGCTCGGTGTGCCCCTGACACATAGTGGAGAGCATCTGAGAAGCTCTGCTTCTATGAGCATCCTGGGCACTCAGAGCATCTCTGGTGAGGACAGGCAGCAGCCCCTGTCCCTGCTGAGTCTCCATGGCTGCCAACCCTTTGGTGACTGAGGCAGCTAGCAGGTCCTCTGCTGCTCTGGCATTGGTGGGTCTCCTCAGGGCTTGTTCTGTCTCTTGACAGCTTTGGCATCCTCGACCTGTGCTGCCCGGGGCAGCAGCTCCTGCCTCTGCCCTCCCCTGCTTGGAGATGTGGGGACCTGCTCTTTGCCTTTGCCATCTCTTAAAAGCCTGGTTTGGGATCCAGCTCTTAGCCTCTGCTGCCCAGGGTGCCACCACCCTGCTGGTCTGGGGGCTTGGAAGATGTTCCCCAGCAGAAGTGAAGTATGCCCTGAACAAGGAGCAGCTGTGGGGCTGAGAAGGAGGATGCCTCGGAAGGTGCTGGCTCTGGGGAAAGATTCAAATAGACATTCCAACCAGGTATTTCCCATCTTCCCAGTCACCAAGATTACAAATACCAGAGAAATAGTTCCATGACTGTGGCTGCCTCCAGTCTAAGGTAGAACCATGACTGGGGTGTAAAGGCATCCAACAACCTGGATCTGGTTTGGAGGTGGAGGAAGGATGCCAAAAATAAAGGAAGCAAAACCCTCTGAGCTGCCCTGGGGTGACAGCCAGTGGTGCAGTGGCTGGCTGCAGGGCAAGGCTGAGGCTGAGGGATAAACCCTGACCTGTGTCCTGTGCCAAAAGGACACGGGCGTGAGGCTGGTGGCTGCATGGGTGTGCAAAACTCAGGGTTGCTGCAGGGAAGGAAATGAGAATGCGACGGTGGGTTTGCAGGAGCAAGCTTGTGAGACGTGAAAATGAAGAGTAAATTCAAGCATGTCAGGAGACATGCAGGTGAGGGGGATCCTGCGCACCTGGTTCTGGGTGTGAAGAAAGGAAGGAAGGGATGTCATCAAGCAGCAAAACTGCTGCTGCACCCATTGTCACTGCAGAGGAAGAAGCTTCAGGCACTTTCCCCAGGCCAAGCTTTGCTGATAAGGGGCTGTTGAAAGCGAAGGCTGTCCCATTGCTGTTCTGAGGCGTCTCTGCTCTTTTAAGGTCCTCTCTGGCCCAGAGGTGCAGCTTGGATTGGGGTTGGACATGAGTATTTGCATCCTGACTTTTTGGATCAGCGAGCCCTGGCATGGACCCTGTCCTTCCCCTTGCTCCTAGAATAGCAGTTGTGGTGTTAAACATTTATAAACCTCTAGGGCTCATTAATTTGCACTGAGTTGGCCGAGGACCAGACCTGGCCTGTGGCCATCGGCTAATCCCAGGCTGGGGAAAGCCAGTGGCAGGGCTGGGGCGATGGCTGCTGTAGAAGCAAAACCCCCCAGGCTGCTGTGGTTGCAGCTGGCAGTTCACGATTTATTCACAAACTCTCAACTGTGTACAAGATGCCTTTTAATTAAGATACCATACATGGTTACTGCTGAATGTTCCAGCAGGATCCTGTTTTATGGACATTAAATTCAGTACAATCCATGTGTCAAAATGTTTAAAAATCAGCTACTTGGGGTGCAATAAGAGGCTGGTTTCCTGCTGGCTGCTGGTCCCAACAAGGAGAGGGGTGAGTTACGGGTGCGTGAGTACAATGGTTGGTGTCTGATGCTCGCAGGACCTGTCCTGCACCACTCCACCCCAATAATGTTTGTGTATCAACTTGAGGGGTCTGATGGAGTCAGGCTGTGTCCACACCTGGGCCAGGCTTTGGCTTGTTGGGCATTTGTGTCCCCTTCCCTCTGCTGTGGGAGTGCAAGGGGGGCTGGCAGGGCCCTTGGCTCTGCAACCTCTGCCTTCTCCTCCCATGGCTGCTGGGTGAGGTTCAGGGTGCTTGAACTTCACATCCCAAAGTGCCCAACTTTGGGGAGGATAAGCCCTGGGGCAGCCCCTTCCTCAAGTGTCACTGCCTTCCTGTCCCCACCATGGTCTCAGCTGGCCCATGGCCCCTGGGCACCTGGCTCCCAGGTGAAACCAGACCAATGCTGTGATGTGGGCCACGTGTCTGCTGTGGGGCTGTTGACAAGCGGGGACCTGCCCTCAGCTGCTCTTTGCCCCTTTCCCTGCAGGGCCCTGCTTGGGGGCTGCTGCCTCTGTCAGGAGGAGGTAGGAGCTGATGGCTTCCCGCAGGCCCAGGCTGATGGGAGAGTCCTCCTCCGGTGGGGACGTGGCCTCCGAGAACAGGAGGGAGCTGCAGGGGGATGGATGGGGTGATCAGTCAGCAGGCCCCGGGCCCCTGAGGGTCTGGCAGGGCCCATGGTGGGAGCCCCAGCCCTTCCCCCGCTGTCCCTACCTATCGATCTTGTCCCAGTTCAGGGATGACTTCTTCACAACAGCAGGCATGGGGGGGACCGGGGCCACCGGGGCCGCTTCCATGGCGCAGGGCTCCCTGAGGCGGCAGCACAGCCCCTCTCCGAACTCTGCGTGGGGAGCTGGCAGCGTCAGCAGGGTCTACCCATCCTGCACCCCAGCCCCAGGGCCCCAGGCAGGTGGGAGACCGGCTGCCACCATTATCCCCTCCCTCCCCCAGGGCATCCCCCTGCC